TTTGAAATGAAATTATTAATTAGAACAGCACCAGAAGACATACCTTGCTTACAGTCATTTTGTAAGGATAGATGCTTTGAGTTACCATGTCTCAGAGTCTAAAGAAATGGGAGTTAGGTAAGTTCTCCAAGTAGAAGAATCCTGACTCTGGTCCTGTGGAAGAACACATACTTTTTTAATTACTTGCTGAGCCTACATTTACATGCCAAATGCATGCAACTGTTCTTTGCATGATCGTTTCCATTTGGGAGTAAACTCAAGTATTAACCACCTACAAGGTGCAGCATTGATGCTGGAGTAGGTGGAGAACAGTTGCCCACAACAGGTGGGTGTTAGGAATGGAATTGCCATTGGAAAAGAGAGTGGCAGAGATGTTCTTGGTATGAGGTACGCTTTGCAAACAGATGTTTCAACCTCCACGTTATTTCTGTGGACTGCTACAGCACTTTCAGTGGTGTTTTCCCTGCAATTACTGTAACTTAATGACTCGCTTCTCACTGGCGTTGGGAAGACAAGCAAAGATGACAAGAAAGGCAACACTGCATAGTCGTGGTTAATCGCAGAGATTTACGGTATGAATTTGTTGTATTCCTGTCACTTGAGCTAGAGTGAACTTCCTGTGAATGCTGAGCATACATGAGGAAGGTAAAATAACTGTTTAAACATTGCTTCTTGCTGTGTGCCTGGGGGCCAAGAAACGTCGGCCAGTTAGAGGACTTCTACTTAGTCTGGAAACTTGGCGTCACGATCATTCAAACTATATTGGGAAAAACTGTGAAAGTTTAAAAGGGGGGGAGATAATGAATGAAAGAAAAACCTTAATCTTTTGTCCCAGACCTTCTCAAGAAATCAGTGACTGGCTTTTTAACTGAGGGATGAGTCTCAGGGCAAGCATGGGCCGGGAAGCTGGGCTCTGTAAGTGGTATTTAGCTGAGCATGTGTCTTCTTTTTCCTCCTGTATTTCTTACTCCAGAGTAACGCACAGGAAGTCCTCTATCGGCTCAGGTTTAATTTCCCTCTTGTTACCCTTTGCTAAGTTGAGTTCTTACCTCCGGGAGGGCAGTGATGCTCTCAGCCTTCTGCTTCTGCAGCGAGGAGAAGGAAACCAGCTAAATGAGCAAGGGAAGAAGTATCTGAAGTTCAGGATTATTTTTTTTTCCAGCAGACACAGGCACTTTGTGACATGTTTTTCATTTCATAAAATACCAATTTCAACAACCCTCCGTTATATAAACTGTTGACTGGTTATTTGTTTTCAGAGTTCGTAAATGTTTCCAGTGGTCTTTTTCCATTTAAGTTGCAAAAGTGTCTCTTAGATATTTGGTTCTCTCTCTTCTTTCTCGTATTGTGACTCATGCTTTCTGAGTCATACGGTACCTACATTTGACTTGATGGCTTTGGATTGCTAAAGAACCAAATACAATGCCACTGAGAGGAGCTTTTTTTTATACCTTAATAATATTTTATTGTTTCCACAATTCTGAAAGTGTAATTTCTGGCAAAATTGCTGACTCCTGAGAGAAATGTGAGGAAAGTACATTAAAATAGTATTTGTAGCCAATTATATGATTATACAGTGAATGTCTTCCAATAACCTTAGTTTGCAGGTTTGTTTCTTTTGGGGCCAAACATGGTGCTTATGTCTCAGATGTGTTTTAGGCATATAGTCACATTTTAAGAGTACAGAAATATGTTTGTGGAATATATCACATCCTCAAAAGATGAGGACGTCTTAAGGTTGATATATTGTCTGAAGTCTTGTGTGTCCTTGTATCGGTTGACTCCGTTGAACACGCTGTATTGAGACCTGTCATGGTTGGACATCTCTTACGTCATCCTCCACATGCCTCTATTTTTTCCAAAACCTGCATTGACCTAGCGAGCTCTTTCATTGAGAGCTGCAACAAGTTTCCTTACAAGACTTGGCTGAACTTTCTGGCCCAAATCCTTGCAGAATCTAACGTTGCTATGTTTTTAAATTGTTTGATGCTATGAAAGGAGGAGGAGGTTGTCTTGCTCTTTGGATTTGACTGTGCTTGCTGTTCTGTTTTGAAGGTGTACAAGGGAGAAGAGACCACATTCCACATCTCAGGCCTTCAAGTCAACACAGACTATCGGTTTCGCGTCTGCGTCTGCCGCCGGTGCTTGGATACCTCACAGGAACTTAGTGGACCTTTCAGCCCATCCGTTGCCTTTATGCTTCAGCGAAATGAGATCATGCTTGCAGGAGAAATGGGAAGCATAGATGATCCTAAGATAAAGAGCATGATTCCTACTGATGAACAGTTTGCAGCCCTCATCGTTCTTGGCTTTGCAAGTTTGTCAATTATATTTGCCTGTATATTACAATACTTCTTTATGAAGTAGAGAATTAAGTGGAAGTTTGAGATACAAATTTAACTAATGCTACGCATTATAATCCACACATTTATTCAGATATTCCTTTTTTTGAAATCCTTTTGTTCTACCATACATTTTATATACTTCTCTTGTTTTTACAGTTTAGCTTGAAGAAAGATAAATCAGTGTTTTGATGCACCTTTTTGAAATTCAAAACTAGGAAGTGGTCAAACTGGAGAAACAAGCAAACCAGATACCAAAAGCAAGATTTTTTTTTTTTTTTTTTCTTCACAGTTTCAAAATTGTCACCAATTTGCCTTCTCAATGTTGTTTTGGGTTTTTTCACTGAAGTTCTTACAGTCTCTTATTTTATCTTACTATTTAGGAAATTTTAATCATGAGTCACTCTTTTGTCTCTTCTTTTTCCTTCTAAACGTTAGTCACAAGTGTGTGTAGTGGTAAGACTAGAATACAGTGTTAGTCAACAGTACCAGGTTTTCCTTGAACAGTATTAGCAATGTTGCCTATGAATTATTCACTACATTTGCCCCATTATTTTCAAGATTAAGCGTAAGTTGTTATTTTAACTGTTCAGTGCATTTAAATCGGAACAATATCCTGCAGTCGAAAACCCGTTTTAATTTTCTGTTATTTTTACAGTTACAACACTATAAACTGCCTGTATAAGAAATCAAATAACCAAACTGCATATAAATTATGAAGCATTAGAGATTTTTTACCATTTTGATTCCTAGCAGTAATTTTAAGTAAGAGGGCATTGTGCAATAGTTAGTTATTCCCATGTTCAGCTATTTAAAAGCTGCTTTAACTTGTCTGTTTGTCACTGTATATAACTATTCCTAATCTAATACTAGATATTATTCTGTTATGTTCAGCCTGATTTATATGATTACAGCTGGTGACAGCTTACTGCCTCTACTGAATTAGGTGAGATTTACACTCAATGTAAGCAAACTTTACTGTCAGCTGAGCTTTTTTTTAAATTTTTTTAATTTTTTTGGAGGGGTATCCATTTTATGGAACTTCTTTGGAGGTATCAGAAATGAGATCTGTTTATTTTAAATACCTTAAATGGATGTCTGTGCTATTCTTACCACAGGGCTAATTGAAATAACTTGGTACATGGCAAAATTCAGACAAGAGTCCTGCTCTGATGGGAATGCCCCCCCTCCTCCTGCCTGCCCCTTCCAAGATACACAGTTTAATCCATTAAGATACTAGAATTTTAACTCTTCAGTCATTGGATTATTTATATTAAGTCAACATTGTGTGAGTACCTCAGGGACATAAATGAGCTGGAGGTGCAAATAGATTCCAAAAGGGTGCAACAGACACAGCGTATTTCCCTGCCTCTTGTTTTTGTATATTTTTGCTACTTGGTTTTGCTTTTGTCCTAGCTATTTTGTGCTCTGTCTCCATCGTCTAAGATTCAGTGTCCTGTACTAGCATAATATTCCCTTAACCAAAGTAATGGGGAAAAAACAACATTATTTTTGTTTTAGGTTTATTTATACTATATACTGCATACAGTACTTTAAATACCAATTACAGTGCAATCTCTTATTTATTGTAAAAAAAATAAAAAATAAAAAGTGTACTTATGTACTAATCCCCCTCCCCACCCTCCCTGTAGCATGTTCTATTTTGTCTGGTTTATACTGTTGTACTTTAGGTCAACTTTTTACCTGGCAGCATTCCTAGTATTATTAATCATCTTATATTTTCTTGTGTTTTTGAAGATGGGAGCATCTACTACATTAAATGCCAAAAAAACATTATCAGTGATTCAAACGTTTACATGTATCCAAAAACATAATCATCTCTGGAAAGGAAGTGCTAAGATCAATGAATTATTCTGTGTGCCTCTCTAGATGTAGCAAATATTAGAAACGTTCTGTATTTTGTTATTGACTATCATTAGTTTAATGTAGCCTGCAAACTAATGGCATTGAGCTAAATATATATATTTTTTTGGTCTTGCCAAAGTCATGGCTTTTCGAATTTATTTACATCTTATTTAAATTTATTTGTGATATGAAACTTTGCGACCTTGCATCTGTATTTTGTGAGCAAAGCATATACAGCTATCTTCAATGGAGGGGAAAAGAGTGTATTTTTTAAAGCAACGAAAGGACCGCTAGTTTGGAAACCCAGAAATTTGAATAGGTTCCCTTTTTTTATTCTTGGAATATTGTTTCAGCAGTGCTGCTATGAAATCCAGGCTTGACACCTTTTTAAAAAAAATGCTTTAAGGAAAAAAAAAAAAAAAAAACCTTCTTTAGATGATTTGATCAGTTTTGAAAGTTTGAATTACAAATGATACTAAAAACAGCGAGCAGAAGTGTAGAGACAAGCAGTCGGTTACACTTGAAGCATTTCTGTCATTGCTGATTTGTTTGGTGTCCCTTACAATCACGCTAACGAGAACGCCCAGCCCAGCCCTGAGGTCACCGGGCAGAGTATTCTGCAGGAGTTGGGACAGGCCCTAAATAAGTTAATTTGACATTCTTTTAGTTTGTATATTCCACCATAGTGATTCGATTGTCATTTGTCTATTCACAAGAAAATAAAGCATCGCAGATGTTAAACCATTCCTGTTTTGATTTCCATTACCGCTGACGCCTTGCCTTGTCCCGCGCATCTTTACGCCCTTGGATCCAGCAGTGTCAGGCATTGAATCCAACCCGAGGGCTCTCTGCCCTCCCAGAAATTGTGAACAACGACAAAAGGTAGAATGAAACACTAACTATTTAAAACGCTGAAGGAAGGAGAGAGATGTTTTTATATTGTTCTGCCTTTTTCTTTCTGAACTTGACATGTTTTCTAATCCTGTTTGTTGGCTACAGTAGCTCAGTATTCAGTGTCATGATTGAAAAGTGCCCTAACTGAATGTGTATGAACCTTATCCTTGCACAGTTCTTTAAATTGAAAAAAAAATAAGATGTTTTTACCTCACTATGGGAACATACATTCCAAGGTTTTCAACTTTAAAAAAAAAAAAAAAATCGTAAGTTTTCTTGTATTGTAAATTTTAGACTATTTCATATGCATTGTATTAAAACTGCCATATCAATTTTAATGTATAGATTTTGCAAATACTACCCTATGTATGTAAGACTTAACGGTATCCGTAGTGTATATGTAATATATTTATGCCCAATAAATGTTTTAATTCTTTCTGGTATTACCAGGAGTTTTCTTAATGGAACACAGCCCTTTGGGTCTGTGTGGCCCCTTTCTAGCAGGCCAGGGGTGTTGCTGCAGCCTGAAGCAGGAGTGGGAGCCCCGAATTTAACTCGGGCTGGTTCTGATTTGTAATTGGAACGATTTTGTGCTATTCGTGAAGCCTTTGCTGATGCAGTTCAGCAGTTCGTGGCATAATCTGTTCTTAGACTGAGCTAAATCCGCTGCAGGTTGCTGGTCCGCCCCGGGAAGGGCGAAGCTCAGCCAGGCTGTTGCCCGTACCGTGCGTCCGAAGGCTGCTGATGTTCTGACCTAAGCATCAGCCAGGTGGATGCCAAATTCCTTCTCACGTGAGCTGCTTTCTGTAGCCCTCCGTCCCCTCGTCGGTGGGAAAGCGCGGTCCTCTCCTTGGGGCTGGCCGCGGCAGTGAGCTCTGACCGCTGCCCCGCAGTTTGCTTCCCTTGGCAGGGCTGATGGGCAGCAAGCAAAAATTGATACAAACAACCTTGAAGTCAGGTTTCTGCGGTGTTTTGATCACTTCTTTTAAATAGCTTGCGTGAAAATTTAAACATGGTAAAACAGATGCCTGGATTTGCTAGCTCTTTGTAATTAGACACTTGAAATATCAGAACTTTTCGCTTATTTGTTAATTATGCGCAATAAATTCAATTACTCATCATTAAGAATTAATCAAGTGTGTATACATGTTTCTTGGCAAACATGTTGATGTTTGGTTTTTAAACAGCTTTTCCTCTTCAAATCACTGCATATATACAGCATTTTATTTGTTTGCTTTTTTAATCACTGCAGTTTACAACATGAGTGGGTTTTTCCTAAGAAAATACAGTCATTTTTTTCACTTGTTTGCTCAGCTGTTTGTTTTTTTTTTATTATTTATTTAAACAGTGCTTGCCAAAACAATCTCTCTTTAACAAAATCTTTTAGATATGTCTGTAGAATAGTAATCAGCGCTTTGGTATCTGAAAAGATCTTTTATTTTCAGTAGTCCCTGGTTTACAATATTGCCAGGGGTGTCCGCAGAGATGAGGGAGGACAGCTCAAGCCCATGGGAGTGAAGGAGGGGCTGGGCATTTGCTGTTTGAGCTCTGAATGTTGTCTTGTAACGTTATAACCCCCAGGTTTGGTGCGGAGGTACTGGGTCCCCTTCCCACACCCAAACTAGGCAGTGGTGGGGTAAGTAGCACCAAGTTTCCAATGGGGTTTGTTTTACAAAGAAATAACAGAGCAAGTTGTATCCGGGCTTGGGCGGTGTTGTGTTAACATCTCTTCCCTGCCGATACCTGTTGGGAGAAGAGGATCTGCTTGGAGAAGTTTCGAAACGGAGCGTGGGCTCGTATTTTTAGATATTTTCATTGCCTTACAAACAGCCTCTGGGCTGGGATGATAGTTGGATGTGGACCGTGGCACATCTCGCAATTTGAGCAATCTCCAGGTCCGCCCGCAGCAAAGCGTGGTCACCAGGCTGGTGGCTGCTGTTTCTATAGCAGCAGCAATTCTCTCTCTTCTCGGTAATCAAAGAGCCTGTTCAAAAACGAAACGGGTAAAATTTGTTTTGCTTTTGACTTCAGCCACTGTTGCAAGTTCGGAGCATGTTCGGGTTGGTGAAGCGCCCCGTTTAAGGGGTCTCTGTACGAGAAACCAGTGTATCAAAGCAAGATGCAGCACGATCTGAGCCACCTGCTCCCCGGGACAAATACGAAAGCGAACGGGATCCGGAGGTAGTGTCAATCCGCTGTACCATGTTGTTCATCTCCTGCAGAGCTTTTCCTGCCATGCTCATTCGAGCCTTCAAATTTTAGGAGATGCTCGAATGCAGCCTACTATAACTAGCACTTGCTTGAAGGGAGGTAGACCTGAACTCCAGGCTTTGTGTCAGGGGACCGAGGCGCTCCTGCCTCTCCCTCCTGTCTTGAAACACAGCAGGGGCATTTGAAAATACCCCTGAAAATGAAATACTTTGGGAGCCCCAGCTAAGAGCCCTCCTAGGCGAGCGGTGTAAGACGTCGCCTGAGCTGCTGCTCCTGTGTGGGCTGGGGCGTCAGCGTGGCCTGTGTTCTCAGCCCGGTGGGAGCCTGGCTGAGTTATCCGAGGTCTCCCATCACTTACAGGTTTGCCACTGGAGAATCGTTCCCTGGGGAATGCTGCTTTTCTTGTCTGAACGGGAGGGTGACACCTTGTACGCAGAGCCTATAGTGGTGGTGGAAGCCCAGCGTTTCGTCATCTGGCTCGTTCGTCAACTGAGTAACGCTGTTGTGATGTGCTTGGCATCCGTGGGGAAAG